TCAATTGTAATTTGTAACCACGATCCACACAAGAGAGGAGGATAATATACAACACAATAGGTTAAAAAAAAACGTGCCTTGTTTAGTGCTTCAACCAAAAAGGTCTCAGCCTCATCAAAATTGCCCATGTGCATGCAGCAAACAGCCTTCCCATTCAAGAGCAAGCTAGTGGACTGATACCTCTCCGACAAATCCTGGAAAATCAGATACGCCTCCTGGATCTTCGACCCACCCTAATCCACCAAAAATCACCACTTTTTTCACCATCATTACTATTCCAAATCTCAATTAATATAAATACAAATAGAATACAATACCACAGCCAAATCAAGCCACGCATTGGCGATCTGCGTGAGAGTGTGATCCTCGTCCATCTGCTGCATGATCCGCAGCTGCCTCTTCGCGTAATCCGACCTATGCATCTTAATGAAGATCTGAACATTCAGCGCATGCCTGAAAAATACAAAAAAATTATAATAAGGAAACGAAATAATAGTAATTAAAATTAAAGTTATAGTTTTTACAGTTCCACCGTGGTGAGTCGGGTTGGCTCACCGGGCCAAGCCCATTTTAACAGCTCTAAATTTTGAGTGCTTTGGAGATAATTCCTATAACTTAGTCAAATAATAATAATAATTAGGTTAAAATATTTTTTTATTTCTATAATTTAAAATAGATTTTTTAGTCTCTATATTTATAACTTTTTTAATCATTTTAGTCCCTATTGTTATTTTAGGATTTAAGATTTTATAACGTTTGTTTTGTGTTATTTGTTAAAGGTTTAAGGTTTAATATATTTTTTGTAGTGTTGTTTGTTTTGTATCAAGACACCATTTTTTATTCTTTACAAAATTGAAGGTCTCTATTATATCAATACAAAACAAATGGCATTATTTTTTTAATCATTTTGGTCATCATCGTTATTTTTTTTAACGTTGTTTGTTTTATATTGACATAATAGAGGCCTTCAATTTTGTGAGAATAAAAAAAATATCTCAATACAAAACAAGCATCATTACAAAAAATATAGGTTAAATACTTAATTTGGTCCTTTATAATAGGTACGGGTACGGGGCGGGTAAGTACATACCCGTACCCGTACCCGTACCCGATTTAATATATCGGGTTTTACCCATACTCGTATCCATACCCAGTCAAACCGGGTATTCCCCGTTAAAGTCGGGACGGGTTCGAGTATTACCTGCGGGTACGGGTATATTTGCCATCCCTACACATATCCTAGTTCCAGGTTAAATACCCCACGTCAGCGCTTTGAGTATTGCATTGAGCACTTTGATTTTGTCGAAGGGCATGATCATCCATCTAGCTTTTCTAATTGTGCACAACATTGCTTCAAGAGGATAAGACTCCAAGTGATTGAAAATCATTCCCGATAAAGAAGGGACCGAAAGGTCTTTTAAAGATGTAATTTTGATAGAGCTGTCAAAACGGGCTATCCGGCCCGGCCCACCACGGGTTGGTGGGTTAAACGGGTTGGCTCACCTTTAAAAAAATATTTTTTTTCATTTTTTTTTCTTAATATACAACTAAAGCCCAAAAATTTAAACTTATTTTAAAAATCTGAGATTCTTAATTAAGACATTCATAAATGAATCATTCATCCCAAACATTAAATGATAATTTTAAATACAATCAAATCAAATCTAAATAATCTCAAATAGATAAATATAATCCAAAACATCTTAAACTTCAAATATAATTCAAAATCATCTTAAACTTCAAATACAATCCAAAATCATAAAAATTACAAATCACAATCCAATATTAAATCATTATTGTCTCATGTTGGACTGCATCATGGCCCAATAATTATTGTATTTTTTTAAAAAAAAAATTTAATCACGGGTTGGTGGGCCAGCCCGGCTCACCACGGGTTCAACCCGGGTGAGCCGGGTTGTTAGTGAGCCGGGTTCAAATTTGACCCGTATTGAAATTTTCAAAAAATTTTCAACCTAACCCGGCTCGAACCCGTGGTGAGTCGGGTTGGCTCACCGGGCCAAGCCCATTTTAACAGCTCTAAATTTTGAGTGCTTTGGAGATAATTCCTATAACTTAGTCAAATAATAATAATAATTAGGTTAAAATATTTTTTTATTTCTATAATTTAAAATAGATTTTTTAGTCTCTATATTTATAACTTTTTTAATCATTTTAGTCCCTATTGTTATTTTAGGATTTAAGATTTTATAACGTTTGTTTTGTGTTATTTGTTAAAGGTTTAAGGTTTAATATATTTTTTGTAGTGTTGTTTGTTTTGTATCAAGACACCATTTTTTATTCTTTACAAAATTGAAGGTCTCTATTATATCAATACAAAACAAATGGCATTATTTTTTTAATCATTTTGGTCATCATCGTTATTTTTTTTAACGTTGTTTGTTCCAGATAATCGATTATTTTAAAGAATAATCGATTATTTTGTTCTTCAGGTTTTCTGGAAACCAACCAAGAACAATATAATCAATTATTTTGCTGGATAATCGATTATTCCAGAGAGTTATTTTTGGGATAATCGATTATTTGGAAAATAATCGATTATTGCAGCAAGGCATCCCATTCTGCCTGTTGCTGGAATAATCGATTATATTTAATGATAATCGATTATTTTGAGTTAGTTTTCAAAACTTCGTTTTAAGTCTCAAAATAACTTTCTAGTCTTTTTAACTCATCATCATACACTCTCTAATTAGTTTAGAGATATATTTTGCTTATGCACACAGCACACACAACATATAAACTCATTCAGAACAATTTATATATTAATCCCTATTACATAGCATTTTCTTTGACTTTGTTTTTGTCTTCTAAGTTGTTGTTGTTTGTTGTTGTCCTTGACACACATTTTGTGATCATCAAAACTCCTTTAAGCTTCAGAGATAATCTTGACCTCATCAAGTTCAGGCTCCTCTAAGCTCAACAGTGGATACCACGTATATGCATAGGTGGATGCCAAATTTCTTTAATGCACTTGGAACCAGAACGGGCCGTTCTGGTTTTAGAATGCCAAACATAAACGGTCAATGATTATAGTTCACACTCGTGATTCTAAATCACGGTTGTGAATCGTGCAAGGAAAAAAAACCCAAAGTACAGAGCATTTCAAACACTGGATTTGGTAATATTGTCAATGAGGGGTTTATAACTTCAATTGCTAAACATTTGGGCTATACACCATTTCTGGACCAATTTCAAGATATAGGAGCTCTTAGAAGTATTAATTATAATACTTGTTATGCAATGCAGTGTATCACTAAGGACAATGGTGGCAGGTTTTATTTCATTGTTAGTCAAACTGGAGTCAATCACTTACTATCAAATCGGCACTATACAGTCAAGGATGAAACGACATGGTGTTTCCCCTTGGAGTCATTGACCGATGTACCCCAACAACAACAACAATATTTCAGTATTTGAATTTTTGTTTTCATTCTCTGAACCATATTTCAGTCTTTGAATTTATGTTATGTTATGAATTTTTGTTTTCAATCTTTGAACCACATTGCTGCATTTTGTTGAACGCACGTATGTGGTTGGCATTCTAGAACGACCCGCTCTAAATCTAAAATGGTTTGTTCTAAAAGCAGAACGGCCCGTTCTGGTTTCAGAATGACTCATTCTGTTGCACTCGTTGTGTGTTAACTAATGCATCTGAAACGGGCCGTTCTAGATGCAAAATTAACACACCACGTGTGCAAGTAGAATGGATCGTTCTAGTTTTAGAACGAGTTGTTCTGGTTACAGATGCATTAAAAAAATTTGACATCCACTTATGCATCTACATAGCATCCACGTGGCCAATAATTAACTTCGTTTAAGAAATTTGGACGGAACGTTTGACATTGCAGTAATTTAAATTATTAAGGACTAAATTGAAACCAAAAATTAAAATGAGACTAAATTAAAATTTAAAATATTATAAGAAACTAAATTAGGTATTTAACCAAAAAAATATACAAGCCTTAAACCGTAAATGAATAACACAAAACAAATGTTACAAAATCATAAATCCTAAACTAACTATAGGGACTAAAAATATTAAAAAAATTATAGTATATGAATTAAAAAATATATATTAAACAAAAAGACTAGAAAGGGTTAAAAAATATAAGTATAAGAACTAAAATGACGTATTTTAAATTATAAAAATAAGTAAAATTATATAGATTATAAAATATTTTAATCTTATTATTATCATCGAGTGTCATAGATAAAATAAAAATAAAATAATAAAAACTGGTTACTCGAGTGATACTATATTACCAAAATTGAATGGAGTACGTTGGAACACTGAAATAAAAATTGATTCAAATTCATTGTATCCATTTGAGTTAGTTCGGGAATTGGGGTTATGGGTAGATGCTGACTCTGGTGCTGAGCTGAGCTGAGAGTTGTAGTCAGAAGACGAGGTGGTGTCTTCTATCTCCTATCTCCTATCTCCTATCTCCTATCTCCTAATTAGAAGCAGCATCAGGCAAGTAAGTACCCACGCCCACCCTCACTCTCCCTCTCCCAATCAACCCCCTAACTGTTCGATGAATTGCCTCTCTCTTTTTGTTCCGCAGTTTCCAACATGCCTTCCCTTCAGACTGCCCTGCCTCCTGAGCTCGCCAACAATGCCATTAGGGTCAGTCACATTAATTCAATCAAACCCCTTTTCTTCAAAATTTCAATAAGCAAACACAAATCAATCTCTTTTTTCACTTTTTCATGCCCTTTTTTCTCTAGCTTTACCGTGAATGCCTGCGAAGAGCTAAATATATTGGCCATCGGGTACGTCACTCCCCTTCAAATTCAAACAGATTCACTTGTGGCTTATTGATTCAGCATAATTTCAATTGAATGTATGGGAACCCCTGCCCTTGTGTATTTTTCCCAAATTAAGTTTTACTTATGGTGTTGTAAGTGTCTCAAGTTTGTGATGTATGTTTTCTGAAGACATGTGATTGATATTGAAATTTAACATGTGGAAGTGGAACAAACTCTGGTCCTTTGAGTGCACACCATCACTTACTTCATGTTTCGCATTTCATCTATCATCATGCTGTGCTTCTTTATTCAGGTTACTTTCCTATTGCTGCTATGCTGGTAAAGTAATGCACTCTTTTTGCTGAAGCACTGTCTTTGTTTAATCTTGTCTGGAGAAATTTCTCTCTAAGCACTTCTATAGGAAAAGAAAATGAGATGGTAAAATGAATTATACTTTTCTCGTTAGTTAAAATTAGCTTATGCATTTCAGCTTTTATAGGAACTCTTTTGTTTAACACTTCTAGGAGCTGAGGACTGAGGTGCAGCATAGTTGGTTTTAACTTATGGAAGGTGTTTGATTCATTTTTCTTCTCCTAAAGTGTTTACGAATGAATTCATGCAAACAGGATCTAAATATATTTAATCTGCATGTGTCATAAGACTAAGATGTTGAAATTGATTGTGCTGTGTGTCTGCTTGCTGTTGCAGAAACATAACACGGAGCTTCTTGTTGATATGGTGAGACAACAGTTTAAGAAACACAAGCATGAAACAGATCCCGAGAAGATTCAAAAGTTGAAGGATGAGTAAGCTTGCGTCTAGTATAATGCACATTTATATTGTGCTTGTTTATTCCCATTGTGATCCTTTTTCTTCCTTTTTATCTCTTTTTCCTTCATCTGCTGCAATACATTTCTAATGTCCCCGTGCACAAAAACATGGGTATGTATGTGTAATTTATGTTTAATTACTTACCGTAGATTGGTTTCTGGTTTTGCAGTGCTGCAAGGGGCCTTATCAATCACATACTGTATGAGTCAGAGCAAATGACAGGTTCTAAATTTAGCAAGAGTAAACAGCCTAATTTGCTTTATCCCAAATGATTCAGTTTGTCCATCAGTGAAGGTTTCGGAGACCAAGCATGTAGAGAAAGCCTTCCAAGGGTTTTTTTTTCTGGTGACAAGCCTTCCAAGGGTTTTATGATTGTTATTGGTTTTGTTAAAATTTTATTTAAAACAATTGTGGAGAATAGGGCAGTGGCTTTATCGCTGTTGCTATTTTTTCATATCAACAGTGCTTAAGTTTCTTAAAACCGTTTTGTAGTTTCTACCAAATGATTCTGTGTCTCAATCAATTCAAGAACCCTGCATTTTCGTGGATGATTTTCTTGACGTTTATACCAGTGTAGAACCAATAAACCTTTGAAGAAATGACACTGATCCGTCTTTTTTTTTTTTTTTTAATTAATTTATTTAATAGTTTAGTTTTGTGTTTACATTGAAAAGCATTGTGTGATACACGACAAAAGATGCCAAACAGCGAAAGTCGAAATCTCAGTCAAGAGACTGGCATTGTTAGGTTCCAAATTTCCACGCATAATACATTTCTACAATTTCTGACTAGTTATTGAGCAGTTGTTTTCTCACTACTCTTGGTTAAACATATCGTCATAACTTTATTTTTTTAGCATCTCTTTAAAGTAACGGGAGAATACCATACGGTTATTCCTTGTCTATTCTATTGTGGATGAATTATAAAATAAGGTCTTTATTATTCAATGACTCATCTTGCATACCGAGGAATAGCAACTTAAGAATGACTTTCCTTGATCATTTTGTGCGACTTTCTAAATCCATGAGTCAGACAGCTGGAGGGACGAAAGAAATTTAGAGACAAGAAATTATTTCTGGGTAGTATATTGAGAAAGCTGGAGAAATCAATGGTAGATAAACCATCGGTAATCCTAAAGGTGTAAAATGATTTTACATAATTTACATGATGTTACATTGAATTCACATTACATCAAAGACAGGATAATGTTAACAAGAATATTCGTAAGATTCATAAGAAAAGCTTCTTTATTGATTGCATATCATTACACTAGTAAATCATGTTAGGTTGATGGCGGTATGGTTTTTTGTTAAAATAATTACCTTTGCTCGTTAATAACAATTAACCCTTGGTCTACAAAACTTGTCTTTTCAAGCTGTTCCCCGGTAATTATTTTACATGAATGATTTTTAGTTTTATTTTAATTTGAACGAAAGATTTATGGAGACCTTTATCCATAAAAAAGTTAATAGGGTGGAAACATGTCAATGTCTCCATAATTGCATTACCTAACAAATAATAGGCATCAACCACTTAACAACTTTTTTTCTTTTTAATCATAAACATTAACAACTTGTTACAAATTCCTGCACTAGATAGTTTATATTGTCGCAATTGCCTATGTCAAGAATCAGAGATTAAAATGAGTGAGGGGCATGCCACCTTTGCTGGCAATCCTTGTATTATAGGCATAAGTAAAGATGCATCAGTGTTCAACCACCTTTCCTCAAATGGGATGGCCTAGCTTCTGCAGAGCTAAATGGTCCTCTCACAACACCTCGAGGGCTTTGATTTCCTCTGAGTTGGCTTATCCGAGGGCTGTATACTTTATCTGGGAACTTTGGACTTTGAACACTTGTGAACTCCTGGGATAGTGTTGGAGTGGAGCTCATTACCTTTGGACTGCAAACACGTCTAACCTCACCCCGGCTTCTAGTAATTACTCCATCAAGAATCTCTCCATCATCTGCAAAGGAAGCTGCCCTGCTCAAGTCCCCTTCCTGCACACACAGTGGAAAAAGGAGCTTGAGTGTGTGTTTAGTTATCAGTTCAAATCATCCAAATGGACATTCAGTACCAATGATACAAAATGTTGCTTCTTGTGAACGCTTGTTTGGAATGATGCAAACGGTTCTTAAGTCATGGATTGACCTCAAAGTAGTTGTGCACGTATCATGTTCCTAAGTAATCTAAATCATTAAAGAACTACTTGCAACTACTGATGTTGATGTCATGAATGTGTTTTGTAATTCCATATCAGAAAGGTATAAGTAATTTGAAATATGTCATGTATGTGTTGTGTAATTCCATAACAAAAAGGTGAACTTGGCTCTAGTGTTACACTTACAGTCGCTAGGTTGAATGACAAAGCAGGCACTTCTTCATATTCTGCAGCGTCTAAATCTTGAAGGTGTGCTCCTTTGAAAAACTTGGGCAGAATGTATTGCCTCACAGGAACCAGAAGCATGATCATCAATGGGAATAGAACCCCAGCTATTGGAACCCAAGTGATACCAAAGCAAACAAGCAAGTAAGCAGTCTGGAAGAGAGTAAATACTGCAGTTGTCTTGAATGGTACGGTTTCCACATAAGTTGCATGGAACTCCTCCAAGACTCTTCATATTTATTTTATAATGTAAAAAATAAAGCAGCAACAAGTCAGTGAATGCAACTCTAATTATTCTGAAGAGATAAAAATCAAATAGGAAATGTTTAAGGTCATATTCATACTTGTATCTTCTGCTTGGAGCAGTGAAAATTAATAAAATCCGTTCCCAAAACTGGTTGCCAGGTAAGTTTTCAATGGCCATGAAAGCAAAATAGCCCCAGAGTACAGAAGTTGGAATCATTTTCAGGAAAGGCATTGCTGCTACACATCCTCCTACCATCAAAGATTGAAGCAGGTTGCTCACTCGTTGTTCTTTGACCTCAACAGGCAATAAGTCATCAATGTCCTTCTCCACATCAAATATTGACTCATCAACTGGAGCATTTATACTCCCCATGCTTGATGCTAATTGGATAGTTGACTCTTTCATCTCATTAAGTCCCTGTCAGAAGGAGTTTAGTCAAGGGTTGATGATAACATGACATGCCACTTCTTGTTTGAACTAGAGACAACATAAGAACAAGTTCGATTTTTTAAACCATTAAAAAAATGATATGATTGAAGATTCTCTTTGGATCAGTTTTAGAACAGGGCACTTTCAAAACATTAAGCAAAATTAGGGGACTAATATGCCAGAAAACTATTATAAGTGATCATGTCATATAGGTGGAAGGGAGAGTGATAAAAAGACCACAATTCCATGTACCTGCGAGGAATGTTCCTGGTGAACTAGAGGGGTTTGCATCTGCCAGTAAGCATCTTGCATACTTCCATATACTTGTCCCAAGTTTTCTTGCTTTTTCATACAGCTTCGTGCTGTTGCAACAAGTCGGTTTCTAAGTAACTGCAAATCACCCAAAATATACGGATAATGATAGTTGCAGAGCACATGTAATCATATCATTATGTATTATGTTCCCACTTTCTAGGTCTACTACAGAGTGTACTAATGAAAGTGTATCGGCAACATTTATCACGGTAAAGCACCATAAAATGAGAGAACAGGAAACCTGCAATTGTAATTAATGTCTACCTGGTGCTTCAGTGTAGCTAAACTTTTGGTATGCATTGGAGATTGTGGAATGACACCATTTGACGGGGGAATTCCAATTAGACCACATAATATAACCTGTCATTCATTTAACACATCAAATGTGTCACAACCAAGAATCTCATTCAGTTTACAAACAGAATAGGAGGCCATACACAATATCAATCTCAAATTGCAAAGGGAAAACAAAGAGCATCGGGCAAAAAAGGCAAGGAACCAAAGTAATTTTATATAAAGCAAAGGATCAAAAAGAGCAAGGAGTATTAAGTACCATGAATCCCAAAAGAAGTAAATCATAATGGAAAGAAGGTGGCTTTCTTAAATTGAACTCTTTCTGCTGAGCAAGCTGAGATGCCACACTATGGTCAAAATAATAAAGAACAGCAATCATTGTTGCTGGAATAAACGCTCCAATAATATAGAGAACTGGCACATTCAGCATGTCCTGTTGGTGATTTTGAACATTTCATGAAAAATTTCCAATGAAGAACTGAGAATATAAAAAAATGAAAGATAAATTTAATTATGAGATTTCCCAACATTAAAATATTTGGACATATCAACTAGTCATGCCTTTATGACAGTCCAGTTTTCAAATGCACCAGGGGACCATGGATTTGGACTGAAGAGACGCCTAGGGATTCCTTTTGGAATACTTCCAGCGGGAATATAAGAAATGCCGGTCCACAATAGAACCATCAACGGGACACCATAATCCGCTATGAGGCCCCGTAAACATCCTGTAACAAGTTGAAAATATTCTAAGAACTACTGGAACATAATAACAAAAGGTCAAAGTACAAGTTGAAAGGACTTTTTCAGTTATTTTGATGTTAAAAGCAAATCCTTAGTCTGTCGTTGATCAGATTTAATCTCCAGGTGATATACACTTCCATTTTCAATTTAAGTTTGATAAATCTAAATAAACTCATAAAGGTGACATATTATGGGTTCAAACCTTTTTTTGTGCATTGAAGAGAAGTCATCTTACAAAATTTATTTGAAGAGTAGCAACAAAATTTTCATTAAGACAGAAGTTCATTTCTTTTACGGTTCTAAGCTTTAAAGATAACTTTTGGAATATTTTTCAGGCAAGATTCAATTTACATATAAGTCCACTTAGTAACATCAAGATCAACTCTACCATAACAAATGTTAATTGGAATCCACTACCCCTCAACAACATTGTTTCTACTGCAGTTTTTTCTCATTGAATGCCAGAATTTCTGCTAATTTGTTTTATTTTTGTAACAGGAGGCCTTAAAATGGGAATCAAAAGGGATGGGGAACGGATTATATCAAATACATAACTTCAAGCACCTTACAGTACATATCAAAGTCGGTGCCATGTAAACTACTACTTATTAGCTTATTGACTTCTGTTAAATACTTCTTGCAGAAAAGAATGCATATCTCAATGGAAGAATATAGTATTTCTGCAACTTCTGTCAACACTCCACAATTGACCATAAGGGAAAGAAAATTTTATGATTTGTTAATTCATATCGTGTTGATGATGCACATGCCCATGTGATTTGGAACCTCTAAAATTTCCCAAATCTTACCTGATCCATATCGCCAAGACCTTGCTTTTCGGCTTCTCAATGCTGTAAGCAGGAGACCAAAAGACAGAACCAAAGAAAACATACCATTTCCAAATCTCCATGAAGATTGAAACTCAGGTGATGTTGGGTCTGCCCTCTCAGGTATGTGAAACTCATGGATGAGTCCCTGTTAAACCCATTTAGGGAGCACCTTTATCAGTTGAATTGATTTTCCTTCAATGTTATACTTATATCTTAAATCATCTTATATATTTATGACTTCATGCTAGAACCACATAATCATTAGCAGTAGCACTAAAAATACTCGTGAGTCAATATTACAGTCAAAGAAAGCAGAATGATGTTTCTTACTTTAATAGCCTCTTGCATGAAAAGCATTGCAATAAGAAGGCCAAACAGTTCCCCTGCAACACGAGTGAACCTGTTGATGATGGAGCAAGCTCCTAAGATAGCCAGTAGGAACAACAAGATGGCAGTCCACATGCATACCCTGATCATACATTAAATACAGGATGCAAATAAGTTTCTTTTATAATGCATCATACAGACAGTAACTCATCATAAAAATTATAGCTAGGAATATAGCATGATTACACCACTACAAATATGAAAGTCAGCAGGCTATACCATCCACTCCATGCTAGAAAGAGTTTTGAACCCAATTCTGGCCTACTTTTGGCAAAGTTGAACATGAATGTATACATAATTACAGTTGGTTCTGCTACTCCAAGAATCAGCAAAGGCTGGCCTCCTATAATAGAGTGTATAATTCCACACAATGCAGTAGATGCTAATGTTTGCACTGCAGTGAGTACTCCATCTGGAGATTATTGGAACACATTACATCAAATTTGAGGTTCATTATATCACTATCTCTGCATTTATCTACTCAGCTATCTTATCATTAATTAACAAATTACCATACACAGATAAAACCCAAGAAAATTATGGGATATAAATAACAAGTAATGTACCTGTGTCTCTTTCCAATTGTTCTCCAAATGAAATAACAGGAATTGCTGATGCAAAGAATATATACGTGGTAGGGGCTAATATCCTGCGAAATAGCAGTTTAAGCACCAAGTTAACATTCCAATCAAAACAAGAAGTATGTAGTTACCAGGAACTGCTTACTAGTGTAGAAATTTTAAAGGAATACTAGCTGAATTAGAAGGAAACCCTTCTATCATCATTCAAGTATATGTCATGCTATCAAAATCCAGTATCCTTAGAAAATAAGTTATTATTTTTTTGTAGCATAAGAAAGGTGTACCTGAAGCCTGCCGTGAGACCACCAATCCAGTCTTGCTTGTAACACATCAATCTCCCTTGAAGATCATTTTTAATTCCACGAAACGGAACAAATGTCTCCTCCATAAGGATTTATATCTTTTTATGCTCTAACAACAGTACAGATTTGCAGAAGCAACTTGATTATTTAATCTTGGCTGTCACCAATGCTTGTGCAATGAGCAACAGAGGAACGAAGAACGATGGCAACACACCTATGGTAAAATCAGCAAGCAAGTACACATCATTATGATTTATAACATGAATTATGCAAACAAACCCCTTCAGTAGAATCCCAGTAGCAACACAACACTACAATGTTGCTTCATCTAGGCCAAATAAATACATAACACAAACTTACAAGTTACAATAAAGAGACAAAGCTTCAAAACCCAGTTGGAATACACATTAGTGAAAGACAAAAATGACAAAGAACGGGATAATTAAGCAAAAAAAAAAAACTTTTCACTCAAAGCTCATAGCAGTGAATGAAAAGAACATAAACGAGAATGTGGGTCAAAAAAACAGAAAAGGGGAATGAAAGAAAGTAAGGTGGTTCGTCATTGCAAAAGAACAAGGTTTATAATGGGGTAAGGAAAGGGAATAGGAATATGCTAAGAAAAGAGCTACAGTGTAACGTTGAGAGAGTTGGTGAAGATGGAGAAAATTACAGTGTGGTTTTGGTGAAATGAGATGTTTCATTTCAAAATACATGATGATTAGGGGAGAGAGCCATGCTTTGCAACTTTATCACAAGCAAGCTAGCTACCTTCCCTTTTATAAGACTTTTTTTTAATAATTTATTTTAATTTTTTCTTTTTTTTAGTATCGAACATGTGAATTGGGAAAATAGTCCTCCAGATATTCAATTTTTCTTCTATCTCATTTTCTATTTATTTATCACATTACTTGTCTTTTTTTATTATTATTATTATTTTCTCTTTGTATCTTTAATTTTCTCTCTTTTTATCTCTTATTTTCACTTCAATTCACTTCGAAATGAGATAAATAAATATATTTAGTAATTAAATACTTCCTTTAAATATGGTCATGAATTGGATAATACTACTGTCTAAAGAAAAATGGCCATAATTGAATAAACTTTTATATAAATAAAAATAATAAAAGAATTAAATTTATCACATAAATTAAAATCAATTTATACATACAATTAAAAATCAGATGCATAAATTGATTTTTAAAAACTCAATTTATTTTATCTTAAATTTTCTCTCTATACAAAAATTTATAGAGAAGTTAACTTATATGTACCATGCTTTCATACCGTGTATGATCATCATAATCTAAATCACATGGAAACACGTATGGTAAGTTTGAGTAAAAAAAATATTTATATAACATAAAACACAAAACATCAATAACTTTAATACATCAACACATCTCATCTCAACTTCAACACTATCAACATAACTTCTCATTTTACGACAACACAATATCAACTCAATCACCATAGTAATTTCAACATAGATTAATCATCATAGCAACACAATATTTTATAACACAATAATTATATGTGTCATCATGTATTTTAACTAGGAGATCTCTTACAATACATGATGAACAATTTAAGTAGCTTGACCCTACTGAACCGACAACACAAGGTAATCTTAAACAAGGAAGTCTAATACTATTGTCAGAATAGAACAGTTGGGTATAGATCTACCACGATATTAACTAGCTTAACTAATCCTTCTATAGGATTAGTCCACTGACTACCATTTAAATATTATGTCCTTTCGATACCCGGTTAAGAACTAAGTTCTTGACTTTTTTACTTTACTCGGTTAGTCACTTGTAATAACTATAACTCAACTTGGTCCCTATATTATGGTCGCTTCACACACATGTATCTCAACCTTTCCCACACATTGTACCAACAATGTTCTAGAAGAGAATCAACATAGCTATCCACTTCAAGGTTAACTTCTCAAGAAGGATTTTCAATAATTAGGCTCTCAAAGCACTACACACAATATCCACAAAATAGGATAAACAACTTTCAAAAACTTCTCCTCTAATCCTAAGTGATCATCATTGCTCAACAACACATCATATATTCAACACAACTAAATAGTCAACATACAACTTTGCAACTCATACCGCACAGCTTTCGACTCATTTCTACTTCTCAACTAACAGCTCACAACATAATTGCCACATACAACTTCATCTTTGTAACTCATTCATCATTTATTAATGCAACAACTAAATTAACAAATATTCAACACTTCATCAACTATATCAACATGTTTTTCTTCAGCAACCAACGCCCGATACTATGCACCCTGCGTCCAACGTCATGTAGGCAGGGAGCTCTTTGTCTCACCCATGCCCAATGCTACACAACTTGCGCTCGATGTGTTTAAGACAAAGCTCCTTGGGACCTTACACCTGGCGTGGTAAAGTGTCATGTTTGGCCCTATTTCAAGTAGAGAGTCTTTATCTAACTCACGTTCGATGTCATACCAACGTTCGACGAAATCCAAACAAAGAGTTATGGCTTGACCATGTTAGGTGCCACTCAACTTTGGGCCCAACATCACCAAGATAGAGAGCTCTCAAGGTTTCTACATCTGACACCATTCAAACCACACTCGGCGTCATGCCAATCCGAAATGAGTCTCTTTCTTCACATCTAGCACCACCAATCCTCTGCCTAATGTGATTAAGACAAAGAGCCTCAAGTTAGAACGACGCTCGATGCCACAAAGACATGCTTGACACGGCATCAAAATTTTGCATATACAAAGTCCAATTTTGAGCCACAACCTGAAATCCAACAAGGATTTAAACAAGCAACAGGAAATAACAATTCTACTCAACACAAGCAACTCAAATTTAGCTCAAAAACCAACATGCAACAACAATACATAGCAAATCATCACATTCTTTCTCATGAATCTCAAACCCCAACCCAACTCTTCATCATTTTAATCAACTCAATCTTAGTAGTTCAAAATCTAAACAATGTTCAACACCATAATCATCTAACATACAATAAAGAAAACATAAGTCTAGCTTCCCTTACCTTAAAATCGAAGCTAACTAAGAAAGAAAAAGAGAACTTTCGACTCCACAACTCTCCCAACTGATCTCAACAACTATTAACCTAAATTCAACAATAATACAACACTAATAAGGCTCAAGAAAGAAAGAGAAAAAGACTTGGAGTTGAATGAAACCCACAAACTAGAGCATTTCTCTCTAGAATCCTCTCTCTAGAAAGTTAATGAGAAAAATAGTTTATGAGACTTTGTTTAAAATAAATTCTTATATATTATTCTCTCCGAGGTCAAATCGAATCTCTGATTAGAGAAATCCCTCCTAACAGTACAGGAACTCTTACGAGATTCTCATATCCCAAAATCTCTCAACACATGTTAACAACTTAATTTAACAACATAAAAAAACTATAAATAATTATAACATTATCACCACTTAAAATATTATGGTTACCTTTCCTTTTTTTCATCATTAAGTATCTCTCTCAATTATACAAAATTATAAAAATACGAATATTATTAATTGAATTATACTATTTATATTACTAAATAGAAAGAGAAAAAAAAAAACCCACATACTTTAACAAGTTCTAATAAGCTCAATCTTAACATAGTAGATGTGCTTATAAAAGTAAATAATGAAGTGAAAGGGATTATAGTCTTTTGGGGTACAAGTTAAAAGTTTTTTTTTTATAAAAATAATAAATGATTTTAAAAATACTTGTAAACTTATATTGATTAAGGAAAAATAATAATAATAACGAAGGAACAAGTACCGAAAGAGATGTTAGAATAGGTATCCTTTTCCTTTGTGTGTTTTAGAAACATTGCTTTCATTTAATAATTCAATGTATACATCACTGCGTATCTCATCGGATCTAGAGAACTAATTCTTGTCGTTTAGATTTAGGCCTTCATGTTTTCCATTTTTTATTTTATTTTTTGTACAACTTGGTGTTTTAGATTAATTAAATATTCGTATGCTTATAACAGGTTTTGCACCTAGTTCTCAGAATACGAAATGGGAACTTTGTCACGTTGCAAAATAAATAGAAAAATGTCATGAATATAACTTTAGGTACAGTGGCATACAAGTAGATAGATTTTAATTATATCCCAATGAAGATTTCATTCATTAGATTTTTTTTAAAAAAAAACTTAATTATTCTTTCGGTTTTAAACTTTTTATAGTATAGTTTTTTTTTTTTTTTTATTTGGTCCTTCTATTTTTTACATGATCCCTACTGTTTTAATTGTAAAATTTTGATTCTTTTGTTAGTTTAATATTCAATGGTTAATAAAAATGTCGAACTGGCATGGTAATATTAGTAAAGTGATAACATTGATAGGTTAACATGAATGTGAGGTAGAATATCACGTTAATATTTTTTAAAAAAATATTAAATTAACAAATAAAAAATCAAATTCAAAAAATGATGATAATAAAGGATCGAAGGTGCAAGTTTATATATATATATATGGAATTCCAACATAAAACTATATCTTGTTTATTTCATCATAAATAATTATAAAATCCTTATTTAATAGTTGTAATTGCTTGATACATGTAAGAAAAAAAAGGTTTTGATGTCTTTTAAACTCATTACTTATTATCATTTGTAATTACTTATTATATTTCTAAAAATGAAAATTGATTACTTGAAACAAACGTTATATAAAATTTAAGCCTAAATTAAGTCTACCCAAAGAAGAATATTTGCTATTAATTAATTTTTATAAAATAAACAAGTTATATATATATATATAT